AACAATATCTAAGTAGATTTGCATATATACATAGTTAAGAGATTTAAAAAATAATAGAAACAGTTGTATATTTTCTTAAATATACAAAATATATAATTGTATATTATTAAAACAATTATCACTAAGAATTTAATGTAACTTTTGAATTTTTTTGGTTTGCTTAATCTGCTTATCGTGTTTGCGATTCATATTCCGTGTAACATTTAACAGTGGATTATTTCGTGTGTTTCAAACAATTCGACCAAACGCATTATGCGCTACTAATTGTTTCGTATATGCTCACGCCATGTTACCCGCGAATGAATCTAACTGACGGCAAACGAAAACTCGATTACAACGTTTTCCCCAACTTGTTCTCTCTCGTTTTCTCTCTCTTCCTCTGTCTCTGGTAATTCAACTTTCCTACGGACTTGAAGGACGATCGGTTAAATAGGTCGTTCGTCGAAGGCGTAGAAGTGAACGTTACCGAATCGAATTTAATAATGAAAATAAATCAGAGAATGACACCATCCGCGAGACAAACGCGAGTAATCTAGAAACGAGGGAACTGAATTTTTTATTAACAAAGCGTGCAAAACGTTCCGTAGATGTAAAGTAGCGTAAATGTTTTATATTAAAATCTTTTCTTAGAATATCTCTCTTTCTAATACAAATTAAAATAAAGTCATCCCCGAAAACAATTGTGTATATTCGATAAATTATTTTGTCTAGAGCAGCGCGCGACAAAGAAAAGAGGAAATAGATTTAATTTGCTCAAAAATTTCATTTAAGATAAAAACGCTTTTTACTTTTATTCTGAACCAATTGTTTGCGCTCTTGCGCTTTTCTGCTTCTCTTTTTTTACGAATAAAATGTATTTTATAATTTATAATTTTTAAATGTTATAATATTGCGTAATTGTTTTCGCCCGAGTTAAATTGCAATGAAAAAAATAGTTTTACTTAAAATCACTTCTGGTTAGAAAATTTGTCTCCTGTGTATGTTTAAAAGAAGTGCGCGATTTCTCATTGTCAGATGTATCTCAAATACATTTGCACAGAGAGAATTTTCTCTTAGAATTTATCCTGAAAATCATGGTAATCGTGGAACAATATTAGAATGAATTTTATAAGAATTTCTCTAATTAATATTTACATAACAAGAAAAATATTAATATGTACTTAGTAAAATTAATCGAACATATTTTTTATATCTTATTGTGGTAGATCTTTTTATTGTGATAAAAATATTAATCAGAGAAACTTTTATAAAATTCTTCCAATATCATATGGTCCCACAATTACCATGATTTTCAGATTATCAGATTAAATTCTAAGAGAAAAGTTTCTCCGTGCACTCATATAAATAATGTCCGTTCAACAATCGATAGATAAAAAACAACATCGGGTAATTTCTATCGCGAGTCTAATGAAATTTGCGTCGTTTTATCCGAACGAAAAACAATTTTTTTTTCTTATATTTTCGACCAAGTATAGAGTACAGGTACACAAGAGCACAACTTCTCTTACACCGATGCTTTTAAAAGGCCGTTTCGACTACAGCGGTATGCCGCAGGTACGCAACTGGGGATTTAATTATCATTTTAAACGTGCGGAAAGCAATTATCGGAAATTTAGTTCGCGATGGCCAATAGAATGACAGTAACCGCTATTATTTTGACATTGAATGAGCAAACTATTGAAAGAGCGAGCTTATTGAGGACTCATTCTTCGTGATTGTTTCGGTTCAATTTTTCTCTCGCCGCGATCCAAATTAAACAAACCGATGCAGACCTTCGTCGAATAATATATTTTATAGCTACTAATAATATAAAAATATGTATAATAACGAAATTATAATGTACATAATAAACAGACAACAGATAAATCTGAAAATACCAATAAAATCCATTTGAAATGAAATTAAATAAAAGATAGAATTATACATAATTTTTTTTTATTAATTCGGATAATAACATATGAAATAATGTGAAAATGCATGCAGACTTTTACTCGATTAATTATCAGCAAAGCAGATTTTGTCATAATCTTTTTATTAAAAATTATTGATAAATTCATCAATTACTTTTGATAGATAGATTTTTTCAATGTATTTTTCGGGTGTAGAATTTTAAATCGTTTCTCTCTCCATTCAATATCACTGGAACATATACATCTATATTGAAAGATGTTACGTGAAATATTTGCTTTACTGACAAATTTTAAACAAATAAAAGCACAAATATTTCTATATTTTTCCTCGACTCCGTACAAAAATATATAGTATAAAAAAGCAGTATCTGTTTATACTTGATACGAATATTCAATATTGTGTAACATAGGTACATATGTGTAATATAAAGCGTGCAGCTTAATCAAGAATATTTTCTGCGCAGATATTAATGTAGATATAAATCAATACACGCGTTTTCTTTCTCTCTATGGCAAATGGCGAAGGAACATTCAGCAATTCGGAAGATTGTTATTGCTAACAATCCGAGCCAATTACAGCGTGATCTCGAATTCTTTGAATGCGCGCTGATTCGCAGAGAGAAAGAAAAGAACGAAAGACTAATTCGAGCGATTAAGCCGGAAAATAAATAATGATCGAAGATAACGATTCACAAAGTTGCGCAATTTCTTCTTTGCTTGCTTGGGGTAGGAAAGAAAAGCCGGAAGCACGGCGACGCATTAACGAAGTCCTTCCGTCGCGTAAAACTCGCTCTGCAAACGTTTACATTATCGGCAGAATGGGGGCCATGTAAGCGCGCGACGATGAATAATTTATTTTATTACCAACGGACGACACAAAGCAATGCGCTCGTAAATGTAAGTGCTTCATAAAAGCGGAGAGAAGGGACTCGGATAAGTGGCATTCGCGATACAGGCGAGATTCCCGTCGTGAAAACCGAATCGCCGGATTGTCCTCTCTGTATCGCCTTATTCTTATCCCTTAAGTTGCTCTTCGTTCTCGCGTTAACTCGAAGGATCGTAGTGAATCGAGATATCGCGATCGTAAAAAAGGGAAAAAATCATAAAACTGGCTCTCTAAATTCGCAACTTATTCTCTCTCTCTCTCTCTGTACGTTAATCGCATACTATTCGATATGATATCGAAGACCCTCGAAGCCATTTTTCCTATAATGTTGGAAATTTCGGATTGGATCTTCCTCGTTTCGAACATAATTTAAGGAAAATAATTTTGCAGTGTAATTTATTTATTATTCTCTTCTCTCGCGACCATCGTTGCTTTATGCAATTAAATCCCTCGACAGATTACAGGGTGGGATAAGGTGACTTGAAGAAGAAATCCGGACATCGCTTGTTCTGAACGAGATCAAATGCCTAATAGAATTTTCCGTGATCGAACGAGAGCGAAAGTTATCGGGTTTCGGATTTCATTCAAAGATTCTATTCGTTATAGAGCTGGAAGCGTCCGTAATGCTTAGTTCGCGGTGAATTTACTTAAATTGTAAACTAATTATAAGTTCGAATCCGGACTTATCCGCGCAAAACCGCATGACCGCGTCCTTGCTGAAAGAAGACTGATCCCATTTTGGTTTGCACTCGAGTTCAACTTTCGTACCAGCATCCACAGCGATTCTTATCTTCCGATATTTAATTCCGATTACTATATAGAGTCATGATGTTTCTTATTTTTTTATGTTTCTTAATTTTTCTTATTTTTTTAGAATTACGGGTGAACTCGATACTTTTTTAAGGAAACTGCTCAAGAAACATCATCGATGTTTCTTATTTTTTTTTTTATCAAATATGTTTCTCATGTATATAATTTTTGTGCAGAATATTTGAAGCAGATGTCGACAGCGACATTGAGAGAATTAGGGGTAAAGTTATAATACGACGTTTCGGACTGAGCCGAGAGAAATCTTGTAGAATTGACGAAAATGAGACACCACTTGGTGCGATAAAATCTCGGTCGCGAACACGTGGTTCGAGGGTGACTCCCCTTCCTGTAAAAATGAAAGAACGCGACGTCGGGATAAGCCGCGGAGCCGAGGGATAAGTTATTGAAGCCCTTCATGCACGCGTTATTGAAACGTAGAGTCGACAACTACATAGTCGTAAAAACAAATTTTCAGCCATCTTTTCTCTTTTCTATATGCGTTTACAAATATGTACCTCATCATTATTTTTCGGTATAAAAAATCAGAATTAAAAATAAAATCTATCATACTTGTTATTGGATGCAGATGTACATTGCGGATTTATCGAGTATTTAAATCTTTAATTGAGATTGAGAAAAAGAAGTATAATATTCGATATATTAGGTTTTTGCTGTATTTAAAAATTAAATAATTAATCGGAACGCATATCGACAGCATCAGTTATTTTTATTCATGTAAACAATCTCACGGATCTTTGTTAATCAGGTATTTTCATCGCGAGAAATGAAATCGAATATATGGCTAAGTATTAATTTATTTATTGCTAATTTGTTTCTCTAATCCCGAGTTTATTGCTCCTATTAATTAACACGAATTTGATATTAAATTAATATTAAATTAACACTATTGATATGTATTAACACAGATTGATATTGGAAATAGATATTAAAAATGGAAATATCGATTATGATTTAATTTATCATAGTCGTTTTCGAAAAACACTTGTTAATAAATCTTCTCTTAAAGATACAAATAAATTTTAGAAATATTAAAATCTTAGTAAATGTACCAAAACATGAAATACTGTAATATAACAACGATAAAGTAATGAATATAAATAAAAAATTAACAATATCAGCTTAATATTATATAGTTTCTCAAATTAATTGCCGAAAACATTTTAAATTTTGCAAATAATTCCAAATTTATTACTCGCAAAGTAAGTTTTAAAAAAATAATCAAAAATGCAATAGAGACTGTGTTTAAAATGACAACTCTAAAAATTGTATATCTCAATAATATAAACTAAACATCCTATCAATAAAATATAAACGAGTACAATGAATATATTTTACAAATAATAAATAATAAAATAAAATGATAAATTGCTCACCCCCTGGCTGCTCTGATGTAGTTTGATCGGCTCAACATCATCTTTTTTCTTGTTTATCCTTTACTCTTTGTGGCACTCACTACACAATACTTACTCGCTAAAAATACGATTAATTATGACTATGCGTGCAAATTAATATCAAAATACAATTACGTATTTCTTTATTTATTTTGCACAATATCCCGATGGCAATTAATATATACGTATTTCATTTTATTATTACGAATGAAAGAAAATTGATGTGAAAATTTCAGTTACACAAAATTACGATTCACTCAACATTAAAAAAAAATAGCACGCTTAAATTTCAATGTTACTTCTTTTACTAATAAAAATAATATTTGAATTTTACGAAAATTTTACTTATTATAACACGATTAAATAAATAATATATACAAATTAAAATTAAAAATATCCGCAAAATATACAATATTCAAGAATATTACCACTTTCCTGGCTGCTATATAATAAATATTGACCAAATACATAAATACATAAAATATAAAATATATATATATATATATATATGTTCAAAAATATGTTTGAATAAAAAATACATTATGTTTAATAAACTTCAATAAACTATATTATTTAAAATATAATTCATTCAAAATATCTGATAAAAACGATCAAAGTTTCGGATATTACATTCTGCAATTAATTTTAACATACATATTTGCACGTGTTATAAATTATAATAAATGATAGTAAAATAATGAATAGATATAGTTATTTTACCAGGTATTGCAACTAATCCTATCAATATACAAGCAATGCGAGGAGATTTATTGCACACGCAATTGATTAATATTAAAATATACATATTTATGCGGGATCAATAATGGTTGTATTTATTAATTGAACGCGTCTCATAATGACGCTCGAGTCAATTTGTTTTATGCTCGCAATTTGCGATGCATCGTTAATGATTGAGAGATCGAAAACAACATCGGTAGCTTATTTATTATCGCGATACCTCGCAACATATTAAATGAGTTTGGTTAGGCGAGACGCCATGATCGCGACAACTTAATCGCTTAAATTGATGATCGCTAATTGTACTAATAATAATCACAGGGGATAATCGAGGGATAAGACGAACGTTGCTTCCTCCTCGTTCGAGTCTCGAGGCACAAATCACAAGGCCGCATGCATACCGAAATTGTAAACAATGGCGCGCTGTTACGTCACAAGAAGATCAAATACCGCGTGTGACAGACTATGGAAATACATTTAATCGCGAAATCAAATACGAAATATATATTTTCAATTATAGATGTGCATACCTTGAAAGAAATGTAAGAAATGACCGATGCGTCCTTCTGTTTAGACATGTAAAAAATCACGACGTACTTTACTCATGCACGATGTACTTCGGTATGCGAGATGACGTGGCAAAGTGGGGGAAGGGGAAAATAGTGGGGAAAGGGGTCGAAGGGGGGGGGGGAACGAAGATTGTTATTATTATTTTATTAATGTCCGTGCATTCTGGGGAAGATGCATTATTTATCGATAAAGTAAAATTAACTCACGTCTTTTTATTATAATTTAATTATTCGAAAAATCTCACGATTTATATATTTATTATTATATTTTCTTTATCTCCGAAAATAAGTGTGCAATTACATTTAAATCGACGAAAGATTGAAAGCAGAAAGTATAAAAATTTAAACGTACTTTGAAAAATAATAATTATATCAATTATGATGCGAAATGATTATTGTGTTGGCGAAATTCGAAAATGAAAAAGTAAGTCGCTCTGTGTATCCTCGTATTATTATTCGAGATACGACAATTACTACGAGGTGCTTAAACGATAATTCTGTATGCACTATAATTATAGAATTATACATTATCGCGGGCCTGCGCTCTCGATTAATTAATTTTCGCGATTGACAACTCGTGAGCCGATGGTATCGAGGCGACAGCTGTTTGTCAAAAGTACATATGTATTTAGCACGATTTACATATATCAGATATAGATATCGAAATGACAAGTATATAGAGCTTATGAATTATCATCGGTTTATCGTGATCTTTACACATGAGAATTATTTTCTACATAATAAGCCTACATTCAAATATTTTTCGCCGATTTATATGTAATTTTTCATTATTTTCGGAGAGACTAAAAAAAACAGCGATACATAAATGTCAATCGGATGATTAAAGTATAATGAAAAAATTGTAATATACATCGAATCTTTTATTAAAAATTAATTTAAAATTCGACAGGAATAAAATATTCCCTATATAATTTTTTGTATTTCGCAGTAAAATATTTCCGTAGCGACAACAAATTAACTTTTGACGTACGGTATTTGATCTTTGCTTCGCAACGTATAACAGCGCATTATTGTTTACGTGCCATATGCTATATGTGTACGACCTTGTCATTCATGCTTCGAGACTCGAGCGAGCAGGAAGCAACGCGAGACGATTCGTCGTATTATCTCTCTAAGCACGATTATTCCCTGTGATTATTGCAATTAACAATTATCAAACCAAGCGATTAATAAGTTTTACGCGATTATCGCGTCTCAACCAATCATTCTCAATTTCTTAGTCGTTAACGAAACACATCACGAATGTCATTACCGTAATTAATTAATAAATATAATTGTTATTAGGTATGCTATTTTGTATAGATATTTTAATATTTTAATCCAATAAATTCATGCATTCCTTGTACATTGATGATCAATTGGAATCTGATAGATTCGCTATTTCTATTTTTCATTACAATACAAGTGAATAAGTATAAAAATTTAAAATATTCACAGAATGCGACATCCAAAAATATATACTATCGCTTTGCCAACTGCAATAGATTTCGATCAAATAAATCGTATCAAATTCAAAAAATAAAAAATACATAATATATATAATAAATCTTGATTAAATACATTATTTGAAATATAAAATATTATTCATTGAATCAAAAAATATCGCAGTCGGTTAAAATGATGACATGCAATATATGTATATTGCATTTTGTGGATATCTATCTTTTTAACTTGTTTATTCATTTACTCATGTTATAATGAAAAATAATAAAATAGTTGTCATTAATTCGACAATGATAAATATTATTTATTAGCAACAGAGATAGTATTGGATGAATCATATGATTTTTCCTAATGTTGAGTGTAGTTTTGTGTAACTACAAATTTCACATTATTTAGTCGCAATATAAAATGAAATGTGTCTTGTCGATTGATATATCATGATTAATCGCGTCGCGAGTATAAAAGTATCACGCAATTTGTTGTATTTTGATAATTAATGCGCGCCCGATCGTAATTAATTGTTTTTTTATAATTTTTGTAGAGAGTGTCACAAATAAAAAGTAGCAAACAAGAAAGAGACACGTATCAAACGAAACGATGAGTAATCCTAGGGTGAGTAAATTATAATTTTGTTAATTTATTATAATTATTTATTTGTTTATTGTAAAATTAATCGCTGGGTTATCTGCATAATGACACAATTTACATTGTGGAATGTATAATGAATAAATATTGATATAATATCAAATATTCTAGATTAATTTTGCGAACTACTTAAAATATTTCAAAAAGCTATCTATTAATTAATACTTATATGTATACATATATGCATATGTATATATACAAATGTAATTTTAGCATGGTTTCAGATTTTTATTAATTTTTTAGATTACTTATATAATTTTCGGGAGTTTTGTAAAAAAATTTGTTTTAAAAGAGGAATATAAAAATTGTATTGTACGTGCGAGCGTAAAATTAATTTTTGAAATATTAATTACTTTCGATATTGCTTTATATAATTTGAATACATTTTACAAATCAATGTTGCGTTTTACATCTCCGACGGTGCGCATTGAATTGAGTAAATGTTAATTATTTTTTATATTAATCTCCAGATAATGAATTTCGAAATAATATATTATATCACGGATATCAATGCAAAAAATTAAGAATTTGTAATTAATGTAAATTGAATTTTTCGCATTATTTATTTCTCTAAATTGCTTGACAGATACATACAGAATATATCTCAAAGTGAGTGAAAAAAAATACTATATGGCAAAAGAAATTAAATAGTAAAAGTATACGCGAGCTTCTATTTCAATAATTTTTTATTTCAGTTTATGAGATTTAAGAGATGACTCTTACATAATCTATGTACATAATTCGGACAAATTGAAACCAATCAGCAATAAATTAATATAAAATTATGCCATTCAAATAAAATTTCTGGTCTTTGATTTTTCTCAACGGCGGTGCTGGGTTAACAGGGATTAATAATAATATCGCTGATTTGCGCGCAGAGAAAAGATAGAGAAAGATAGTGAGAGAGAAACGTCAAAGTCTCGACTATAAAGTCTCTTTCATGCGCAGACTTATTATTGTTCCTTGGCTCTTTCTCGTTTCAATCTTCCTTCTCCCTATCTCTCTTCCCTTACATCTCTTTGTTTCGTTCCTTTTCTCGCCCCATCCTTCCTTCCCTTTATTTTCTTTGGCGAAATAAAGCTTTAGGGTGCGTTCACCAACTTCGGTTCACCCCTTTGTCACTCTTGACTAAGCGACGCTGAAATACCAATGACTTGTTTAACCAAGTCTCATTGGAATAAGTCTTTCGCGATATTACCTCGATCTATCCTCGCGGCAAGTGCCTCTAATGAATTTCGAACGACTTCTCGAAGTCCTCCGCGAGATAAACGTTACGGCCTCGCATCAGTTATAGCGCGAATTCTCTCTCGAGGGATGAAAATGAATATAATCCGGACGTACATTTAGCGGTCGGTTTGCAACGGACAAAAGTGTATCCCGTCGAAGGTTTTGACAATTTTCGGTTTCACTGCGACAGACAGGGCCCATAATTTCATCGCGTCTTCTTCCGGATTATTCGAAATAGATAACATATCGCTTTTCGAAGGGTTTCCTCGCGCACGAACAGGCAGATCCGTAATTGAACGAAACCCATTGCCTGAACATGATGGATCCTGCGGGTTCTGGTCGGGCGATTATTAATATTGCGGTCGCCGAAATTGATTTGTTACCGAGAGAGGCAAAGGACGTCGTCATAAAATAACCGCACGTACCTACATTTCCGTCTGATAAACATCAACAACGGACATTTCCTTTTTTTTTTTTTTCGCATTCAATCAGCGTCGAATCCCAGATGCAGCGTTTAATTTGAAGCTGCCTTGTCGGGGGAAAAAACACAGTCTCGATTCTCTCGCGCTCTTTGTTTATATAGAAAATATATAGAAAATATTTCAAACGTCGTATATCAGAAAAGACTGTGTGCGATCCGTCCTACAAACTAATCAATTCGCCGGAGGAATCGGAAAACCGCCGAGCGGAATCGAATCCGCCCCGTCGTTCGAGCGATTTAAATAAACGAGGCTCGAAACCGTTCACGGTCCGCTGTTGCTGTTGTTTGTCAACGATTCGGTAATTGTGGAGAATTTAATTCACCCCATTTGGCATGCCCTCCCATGCATATGCATAGCTGGACGCAACGGAATATAACGTAGCTACTCTCGCACGTGTATGTAAATGTAAAAGGGAACGACAAAGAGATATCCTATCAACGCGTGAAAAATAAAAAAAAAAAAGACTAAAACTCGATACCAAACGGTAACAATATTTAGCTCTTACAAAAGGAGATAGAGATGCGTTCGCGAAATTAATTAGAGCGAGATCTATGTACAGGGTGTATCCAAATAAGTGCGAAACATTTTAGGGGATGATTCTTTATTGAAAATTAAGAAGAGTTTCTTACATAACCATATACTTTTATATCCTTCCCCGAAGAGTTAGATTTTTCTGAAGAAAAAGATATAAAAAAAGCCCCCTTAATTTTCGAGAAAGAATGACCTCTTAAAATGTCTCGCACTTATTTAGATCCACCTTCTACATGTAAGAAGATCGAAATATTTTAATAATCAGAGAAAATTTGGACGTTATATTCACTCGCGTTTTATATATTTGTCTTGCGTCCTTCCCACCCTACAGAAATAATTAAAACGGCATTTACTTCCGTTGTGCCGTCCCATTCCCAGAGATGGTAATTAGCATCGACTGTTATCGCCGTGTTTACGTCGTTGAAAGTTCACCCCGAGGACGAAAGTTTGCGGAATAACGCTGCTGCGCATTTAATTGCAAATTTTCCTAATTAACTGATGCGCGGCTGTCGTTTGTCTCTTGTTCGAGGAACGAAAGATCTTATACGAAAATTTGGATCGAGGAATCTAATTCTTCCCTAACTACAAGCAGATCGAAAATTGCCTTCATCGGTCGATCGCTAAACATATAAGATTCCCGTCGACAGGTCTTGATATCAAACAAT